CAGAAGTGGAAGAAGATGGGGCTCCGGGTGCAGCCCCGAGGACCCAGGAGGTGGGCTGAAGGTGACAGAACGGGAAACATGGGGGATCGGGCTCTCCCCAGAACTGTCCCTGCTGGGGGCTGGAGCTGGTCAGAGAAGCGAGCGGGAGCAGCAGGAACGGCCGGCCAGGAGCTCCTCCGTTTCGAGGAACGAGGAACGTTTGCTGTGAACCGTCTCACTGCGGGCTCTGGGGAAGAGAGCTATTTTTAGAGGAACTGGCTCTGCTGTGGGGGGAGACCAGCACACACTCCTCCGAGCTGCTCTGCCACTGAAAAGAACCTAAAAGAGGCTGCCAGATGGCCTTGCACGAGAGGAGCTCCTCCCAACCCAAAAGGTTGGCGAGCACGGAACCCCTCCCAAGGTTAAGAGCATCACTACCAGCTAAGAATCAAGAGTCGGGAGCACAAAGTCTGACTTGGTGCCAAGCATCCCGAGGGAGAGGGAGAAGGATGGGTTGTGGAGGTGGCTGTGAACACGAGGCGGCAGAAGGAGAAGAAGTCACATTCGGCTGACTTTGGGATGATAAATCAGACACTTCCCAGTCATCCTGGGGTGCAGCCTGCAGTTTCACTCTCCGCTCCCGTTTTTCTCATCTGTCAGCCTCCCCCGCCTGCTGGGCTTCTCTCCCTGCCGAGGCGATGCATTTCAGCATCTTGAAAGACCTTTGAGCCACCACACAGGACCCTGAGCATCGACTTTGTTGCCTTTAGGAGCGAGCAGGTTTCCCCTAAAGTCCTCCCCCCCCCCGAGCCATAGAGTCTCGCCTCACCGACTTTGATGCCTCAGCTTCATTGCATCGCAGAAGGGAATGAGGCAAATGCAGCAGGAGAAGTCCTGGGCAATCTGTCTGGTGGGTCTGGGTGCCCCAGGGCAGCAGGGGCAGGGGCAGCCTTATTTGCAAGTCCCCCATACATTTTCGGGGAGGTGAGCCACCTCCAGGCTCAATTCATCATGCAAGTGGCTAGTCTAGTTCGCCAACCTATTCTCTCAAACTTAATCTATTCTCTCCCTTAATTTTCAAAAAACTGACTTAGCTTTACGGAGGGACCTCTGGTACAGGTAGGTCCAGCTCCTATAACATGGTTTCTAACCTCTTCCCATGCCTAATAAAAGTGGTGGCCATAGCAACAGCAGTAGTACTAATTGTAGTAGTAAAGTGACAGCAATCGTTGCTAAGGCAGCGTATCTCATGTGCCAGACCCAAGGCTAAGCATGTGACAGCATCCATTCATTCACCCCCACAAGGATCAGTAAGAGGGTACCAGTAGCCTCTGCTTTCCATTTGAGAAAACCAAGACTCAGAAAGGTTATTTGCCGATGGCGAAAAGTCAGGGTTGCAGCTAGAACAGCCGTGGGCAAACTACGGCCCGCGGGCCCGATCCAGCCCGTTTGAAATGAATAAAACTAAAAAAAAAAAAAGACCGTACCCTTTTATGTAATGATGTTTACTTTGAATTTATATTAGTTCACACAAACACTCCATCCATGCTTTTGTTCCGGCCCTCCGGTCCAGTTTAAGAACCCATTGTGGCCCTCGAGTCAAAAAGTTTGCCCACCCCTGAGCTAGAATGTGGGGGTTTGCCTGCATCCTTGGCCTACACTTTTAAGAACCTGGCTGTTTGCAGTTGCTTATTTTTGGAAACACTCTAGTTAGGCTGGTCATTCCCAGACTTTTGGATTTCATAGGCTTGTGGGGGTTTGCCTGCATCCCTGGCCTACACTTTTAAGAACCTGGCTGTTGTTTGCAGTTGCTTATTTTTGGAAACACTCTAGCTAGGCTGGTCATTCCCAGACTTTTGGATTTCATAGGCTAAGTGGTTAAAGAGCTCTTATTTTGCCAATTAAGGCAATCTCTCTCTTCCTCTCTCTCTGTGTCAGACATAATACATATTTATATAGAAACATGCAGTTACAATTATATAATAATTACACATATAATTAAATACATTTAAGACATACACACACATATTCTACTTTCAGTGGCCATCATTTTATAAAATAAAAGATATTTTTAAAAAAAACCCTTTAGTCCACAGGCCGACACTCTATCCATTGAGCCAAACCGGCTAGGGCGAGGGTGTTTTTTAATAACAACAATAACAACAGCATAAGAAAGTCCAGGAATTTGTAATAAAGGACCTTCCTTTAAGTAGAATATTTTTGCTCAATGGAAAAACATCAAGTTGGCCTTATTTTTCTCAGTTTATTCCAAATAAGAAAAGATTCAGTACTAACTAGGGAGCCCTTTGGAAACCACTGCTCTAGCTTGTTAACATCCCCTCTAAAATTCGACGTCCAGATGCCAGCTCAACAGCCCGGCTATGGCCTGGCCTGCCTGCGTCCCACCTCCTACACGGATATCTCCAAGTTCTCTCCCACACACCTGAGCTGTGTGCCTCCGAGGTTCAGAGACGAGGAGCAGGCAAGGAGGGGGGCAGGCTCCAAGCTCCTGAGTCAGGGGTAGGAAGGGGGCCAACGGCTACAGCTTGACCTCCTCGACTGGCCTCTTTCATCGGCTGTGGTTTGAGGCCTGGTCAAGGGGGGACCTGCCAAAGAGAAAACCTGGCAGATGGGGCAGAAAGGAAGGGTCCGTGGGAATCTGAAACGACATGCTGTTGGCAGGAATCCTGTCTTGAACACCCATCCATCTCCGGAGGGCCAGGGTCCTACCTTGGCATGATGGAGAGGGAAGGGGGCGGGCTCTTGTAAAGAAGAGCAAAGGTTAGCTGGGTGGCGAGAGGAATGTGGCTGGGAGGAGAAGTGGGAAGACCATGGTGGGGAGAAAGAGAGGCATGTGGGGGGGAATGAATCACGGGAGGGAGAAAAGAAGGGAACAGGGTGCAGAAAGGGAAGAGAGTAAGGACAAGAATCAAGAGAACGAGCATGAGGTATGAGCAGAAGAGGCGCCGAGATCTAAGGGAATTCCACGGGAAGAGGGCCCTTCGAGGCCAGAGCCGGGGCCCGGGAGGAGTGAGGGAGAGTCACAGTCACGCGTGAGGGAAGTCGTTGTGGATTCTTGCTGAAAGGAAGGCTGAGGGCTGAGTGAAGGTGGGTGAAGGCTCAGAAGGGGAGGGTATCAGGTTAAAGGGACACTTGGCTAGCTAGCTCCTGGCTACAGGAAGGATGTGGAGGCACGGATTGTGTCCACTGGGGCTGGGGAGGAAGGTGTCAAAGGAAATCAGAGACAAGCTGGCAAAGCAGAAGGGGAAAGAAGAAACTGGAGCTCCGTGGTTGTAAGTCAATCAAGGTGAAACCAAAGTCCTTAAAATGCCTCCAGGATTTGGTCCCTCTTATTCCCCTGAGTCATCCCCCAACACTCCCCGCTGTGTTTCCTCCACACGGGCTTCTGGCCCACCAGGCACACCCCTACCTCAGGGCCTCTGCACAACACTCTTCCTCCAGACATTCACTTTTTGGGGTCTCATTTACCTCACATCCTTTCCTTGTTTTTTCCATAGAACCTACCACCTTCTGGCATTTTATCTAATTTACTCTGCTTTGTTTATTGTGTGTCACACTCTCCCCACCACCGGAATGCAAGCACCGTGAAAGCAGAAATCTTATCTACTTGTTGATGCTCCCCAAGTACAGAACAATGACTGGAACACAGTGAGCCCACAGTAGATATTTGTTAAAGGAATGTATGAATGGATGAGTCAATGGCCATCGCTGGGAACACAGGGCATGCAGAGGAGAAAGAGGAAGAGAAGGAGGAGGAGGAGGAGGCTACAGGAAGGGTGTGGAGGAGGAGGAGGAGGAGGAGATGAAGTAGAGAAGTGAGGGAAATGTGTGTCTCTTATTTGGAGGGATTTTATCTAATGATGTTTTCAGTAGGAGGGTTTTATCTAATCATGTTTTTAATAAAGTCACCCAAAGGTGAATGTAGAAAATGAAACAGTTATTGTCATATAGCGTGATCTCGGGGGTCAATGCTGACTGCCCCTCTGCTCGATCCAGAATGAGACGCGGGCCATGTTCTCAGCAGAGGGAAGAGGGACGAGGTGGAGCTATGTGGGCAAACCTATGTTACTGGGAATTGGGAGATCTGTGCACACACACAAACACACACCATCTTGTCCCCATGTAAAGACTGTCTAGAGGATGACCATCGGATCTGAAAGGGCTCAGTCTCGGGCTCAAGGGCGTTGCTGTGACACCAGCTCCTCACCTGGGTTCTCCCCACTACCACCGTCCGGGCACTGCCCACGTGCTCGGATCGCATGCAGAGCTCACACAAAGCATTCCACTCAGTTTCACAGTGAGCCATCGGGGATATGTAATTGTCATGTTACTACAGAAGAGAAAACTGAAGATGAGAAAGAGCAATCCTTTTGCCCGAAGTTCTCCCCCTCCCCCCTTAGTAAAGCGGGGAGCCAGGGGGCTCCAGGGGGCTGGCAAACTTCTACTACAAAGGACCAAACAGGGCATATCAGGCTGCTGGGCCGAACGGCTCACCCCTGCCTTCCCCTCACAGCCATGCACGGTACGTAAACAAGCAAGCGTGGCTGTGTTCCAATAAAACTTCATTTACAGTCATAGGTGGGCTACACGGGCCATCACTTACTGCTCTAGAGTCTGTGCTCTTTTTTTGTTTGTTTGTTAATCCTCACCAGAGGGTATTTTCCCCCCATTGTTTTTTAGAGAGAGTGAAAGGGAGGGAGAAAGACGAGAGAGAGAGAGAGAGAGAGAGAGAGAGAGCGCGATGTAAGAGACACATCGATTGGTTGCCTCCCACGTGCCCCAATCAGAGCCAGGGATCGAACCTGTGACCCTTCAGTCCTGGGGCTGACACTCTAACCAGTAAGCCAAACCAGCTAGGGCTAGTCCATGCTCCTGAGCACTGACTGGCACAGCTGGGGAGCCTATAGGATAGCAGAGAGACCCCTGAGTGTTTTCACAGTCAGCTCCCACAGCCCAAGGCGGCCGGTTCCTGGAGAACTGGCTGAGACAGGGGCACTTACATTTCGACGATGCCCTCTGGCAGGTTGGCGGGGATCTCCGTCAAGCCCTTCCCCCGGCAGTCCACGATGTTATTGCTGCAGGTGCAGGCCGAAGGGCAGGAGATGGAGTTGGCATTGCAGGATGGCGGCTCCGAGTGGGGGCCTGTGGGGCCAGAGCGCAGTTGTCAGCTCGTGCAGTGTCAGGAGCCGAATGGGCTCCTGGGCCCCTTCACCAGCTACCCAATGAGGCGGCACTACATGGTCAGCTACTTGGAAAAGGATCACCAGCGGGCATCGTCCGCATCTTGCAGACACAGCTGCCTCTGGCTACACATTCAGCCAGGAGGAGAGATGCCGCCCTTGACCTGACTATTTCTGGATTGTTCCACCTGCTCTGTCAGCCTATCACCTTCATCTTTTAGAGAAAGAGTTGCTCTCTGAGTCAACCACACACAAAAACATGCCACGAGCTGACCCTGGGACTACTGTCTCAGGGTGCCCCATGTCTGGTGACCCCGGGGCTGGGGGTTGGAGTTTACCTGGGATGTGGATGCCGAGTATAGGCACACCTTCATTCCTTCCTCTAGTGTCTGGAAGTCACTGTCTAAACCAGTGGGAGGAAGGGAGGCGGGTGCGCATCCCCGTGTGGGGCATTGGTGTTCAGGGTCAACACAGGCGTCAGCAGCGCCATCCAAGGCCCTTTTACACAGAATTGCATACAGAGAACAAGCTAACAAAACTGGCCGCATTAGGAAAAGGCAAGTAAGTTACCTCGTATTTCGAAGTCAGCTCTTAATTTTGCTTCAGCCGAGAATTACTGTGAATTTAAACCAAAGTGGCAAAAACCCAAGAAATGGCATCTGAGGAGCTTACTCAGAAGGCGAGTGTAGATAAACATACGCGTCACAAACTAACTTGAAATTCCGTCACGCGGATCTAGTCACTCCCTGTGGTGGTCACACTGAACCTCTAACACAAGAAATGAATGCAAATGCTTTGAAAAGACAGTAGATAAGTTTCAAATAGGATTAGTTCTTCAGAGTGAGGTCAGGATCCCAAACCCGTGGTTAGTTTTTCAAATGTGGACACTGAGGTCCAAAAGGCAGACTCAGCCAAACAGCCCTCCTGGACCTTGTCCCAGGCCTGCTGCGTCCAGCAGGGCTGCTCTGCGTCTGCCCACGTCCCTCCTCCCAGAACAGAGGGCCCCGGGCAGCACCAAACTCAGACTAATGCCGCAGACCTCCTCACTGGGCAGGCACAGGACGTGAGACACGGGGAAGGATGGTGGGAGTCTGGCCTCTGTCCCCTGGAGGAGCTAAGGGGAAGCCGGGTGGATCCAGCCACAGCAGTTGAGTCACAGGACCGACTGGACCTCGGGCAAGTTCTCCTTCGGACACTGAGTGACACTTGAAGTGGAGGGTCCGCCCTCTGTGCTAACTAGTCCCACCTGGGGGTGGCCCTTCTGCAGAGACTCAACTTGATGCCCTGATGTCAGCCCCGTAACCAAAGACTCTTATTTCCCTTGGCCTCACCTTCACACACACACACACACGCACGCACGCACGCACGCACGCACGCACACTTAGAAAGCATCGTCTTAGCTGGACACTTGAAAAATATTCTTGCCTTGGGTACAAGGACTTCAAACTCTCTGTGTCACATTAGTGGATCCAGTGGAGACCGTGGAAAATGCCAGAGCGATGATGACTTACACTAAACCCCCAGCTGCAACATTCATCCCAGGAGCTTGTGACGCGTATGTTTATCTTCACCTGGCTTTGTTTCCTGGGAAAGGCTTTCCTAGTACATTTCTGAGGAAACGGCAGCCCAGAGAACCAGCCTGCCTGAGCCGCGGGTCAGGAAGAGGAGGGCGAGTGGCTGAGAGTGTGGGCTCTGCAGTCCCATTGCCTCTATTTGAATCCTAGTTCGATCACCTCATCCTCCGGTCCCCGTGCCTCAGTTTCCCCCATCTGTAAAATGGGGGGAATAGCAATGCGTATTTGGTAGCATGGTTCTGTTGGGAAGGCAAAGGGAGTTAATGCATGTAAAGTGTTTAGAAGAATGTACAGCACAGAGGCAGTGCTTAGGAATGCTTGTTGTTGTTAATGTCGTTGTTATTCTTATTAATGTTATCAACAATGGCCTGAAGGACCCCCCTCTGAGCTTTTTGCTACCATCTCGGTGGATAAGGGTTTGCATTGCAGACTTCGAAGTCCTTCCTGGGTCTAAAGACTGACTATTCCCGTTCTTCGGAAACTGGAAGCAGAAGGAGTAAGACACCTCCCAGCGCCTCCCCCTCCCCTACGCACCTGTCTTAACGGGTGGCAAAGGGGACCCACCTCGTGAAGGCTCCTATCCCTCACCCACATCCCGAGGAGGTGGGACGCGTGGCCCCAGATGTCAGGGCTTTCACAGTGCCGATGGGGCCCCCAGAGAGAACTGCCAGGCCTGAGCCTGCACGCCAAGGGGAAAGCGCACCTGACAGCGCCAGGGACCATGGCCACACCCGGGCCTTCCTGCTGGGGAAATGCCAGGGCTCCTCAGAGGCGCCGCCTGGGCTCCTGCTCATCCACCAAGGGGAGGGTATCGGATGGCTGTCCCCCTTTCATCTGTCAATATTACATGGTTGGGGTGTTTCAGAAGAAAGTGGGGGAGGCATTATACTCAAGGGCTCATCTGGGTAACAGGAAGTTCTGAAATGGAGTTTTTCAAAGACACTCAGACTCCGATGCTGGAGTCGGTTCTGTTTAAAGCGGACCAGGCTGCGGCCTTCATCCCCTGGGAAGAAGCCGGTCCTACACAGGGTGGCTCTGTCCTGCAGGCAGCGTGAGCGGCATTTCAAGGGGTGTTGTCAAGGCTTTTAAAAAAGTCTTTGAAAACGATCCTTAACAAGGTCACTAACAACACCTTTAATTACTCGGAGAGGTAATTATAGCCCCTGAGAGCACCTGGTTGGCAGCGCCCCAGCCGGGCATCCACACACAGGGAGGGCATCGCTCTCCTGTAGAAACAGACAGAACACCGCAGGCTGAAGATGGTCAGCGCCTGATGGACCGAGCCCTGTCCATCTGGGCGCTGAGGGTGGAGCAGGCAGAAGCCCCTCCCCTTAGCTCTGCCTCTGGACAGACTGAGTCTTGATGTCAGTTCTACCAGGGCAGTGATGGTGTCTGTCTCCTTCCTGTTCGACCCCTGTGCCTAAAACAGGGTTCGGCAGGAAGCACCATCTCAGTACCAGGCCTTGGGGGAGCGAGAGGATGAATCATAGATGCAATTGGCCCAGAAACCCTTGGATGTGGGGGTGAGAGGTCCTCCTGGAAGGGCCTGGGGGAGGCCCCCTGAGTCCCCAGTGCCCTGGGCTCTGGTCAACAGGGTCAGCCACAGAGCGGGGAGCTGGAGGGGCTCTGGTAGATGGGACTCCCGTGCCTGAGGTCAAAGGCTTTCTACCAGAGCTCTCAATGCTGGCCAAGGCCACCTGCCTGCCCCCAGCTCACTGGGTGCCTGGCTCACCCACACGGTCAGGGCGTCCCAGGCCCTGCACCAAACTCCGCCAGCAGGTCCATCGCTCCCAGCCTTTCCCGGCCATGCATGCTGAGGGTGGTGGGGGGAAGGGAGGGGGCAGTGAATTCCAAGGGGGCAAAGTGAGGAACCCCCTCCCTTTCTATCCAGTGAATTCTATGACTACAAGCTGAGAAGCAGAGAGAAGTGGGAACGGAGTTTTTACATCGGGATAGGAAGAGCCTCCACATATCTTTCATGGGAGGGACTGCCTGGGTATGTGCCTGCCGCATGCACGTGTGTTTCTGGGGCCGAGGAATCATGGGGCAAGCCTGTCGACGGGCACCACCTCCTCCTCTCCCTTAAACCAGAGCCCAGCGATGGACCAGCACATGGAACCAGCACTGACGTTCTAAGGCACCGATTATGAACTCAGGAGTGCGGGCAGCCTGGCTCTGCATGCCCGCCTCCTTAACTGTGTGCCCGCCTGCCTCCTTAACTGGCGCCCCGAGCTCTGCCCTGCAGCTCTCCCGTGGCACTAAAGGCTGCTGCGTGGAGGCTGGGGGGCCATCCCCTCCAGACCAGGAAAACGGACGGGGATGTGGGCCAGCACCTATCTCCCCACTGGGGCCTGGCCCACCTTTCCCCCTTTCTGCCACTTCAGCTCTGGAATTTTCATCTGAAGCCAAAGCTACCTCCGCGCCAAACCGGGAGGAAAGGGAAGGCACTTGGTGATTGTTGGCGGGAATATGCTCCCAGCCAGAGCTCTCACAGGGAGAGTGCCATGGTCGCCAGCCTGGACGGGGCATTGGCGATCCTGTCTCTGCTGACCGCACCCCCTCTAGTCTCGAGAGGCAGGAAAGGCAGCGGGTTGACCAGGGAGACACTCCAGCCCAGCCTCCCCCTCATCAGTGTTCTCCTAACTGGCAGATGGGGATGATCATCACGCTGAAAGCGAAGGCCCTAACTTCTCTGCCCAGATGGTGGGGCAGAGGCCACTGAACTTCACCCCAGGAAGGGCTATGGAGACAGAGGGGGACCGGAGCCCTGAGAGACAGAGTTCTTGCCCAAGGACATGGTGGTGCCCAAGCTAAAAGTTACCACCATTCTCCTAAACCACTGAACTTCAACCCAGGAAGGGCTGACGGCAGGGACCGGAGCCCTGAGAGACAGAGTTCTTCCCAAGGACACGGTGGTGCCCAAGCTAAAAGTTACCACCATTCTCCTAAAAGCAGCTCAAAGCTGTAGGATGTGTCCTACGTGCCAGAGACTGCATTAAGGGCTGTGTATAGATGATCCCACTGGATCCTCATAAAAGCCATGACGGAGGCTCTGTTATTATGATTCCCATTAGACTGACGAGGAAACAGAAGAACAGGGAGGTTAAGCAAACTGCCCAGCATGTGTTCTTACCACCACCTCCGCCAAAAGACAGCCAAGCGCCTCTCTTTAGTGCCCTGGAATTGAAGGCCCTCACAGCCTCGGGGCCTCGGGAGGTGGGAGGAGGAGGCTCGGCCGACACACGGCCCGTGTAAGCCACAATGCAGTGGCTGGGCGCTCCTGTGCTGGGGCCGAGTTTATTTCTTTCTGTCTTTAAAGAGAATGTTGCCCAGAGGAGCGCACAGAGCGGAAGAGTGCAATGGCCTCGTGAGCATGTGGAAACAAATTAACCCAGCATTCAAATTAAGCATCCCTGTTGGCCTCTGGCCTTTCGAAAGCCAACAACGGGCTGTGAGGACAATGGGACTCGAGCAATTATGATGAGAATATAAATGCACGCGATTCAAATGCCAGAGGCATGATAATTTTGGGAATGGCTATAAACCTAATAATCTCATCCTCGCAATGTCCAATTATGGGGTTTTAATTAAAACCTCCTAAGGAGATGGGCGGCCAGTCAGGCTTACCTTAATTATCTTTATACTTAGTAACTGGTCCCAAATTTTAAAAAAAAAGGGGGGGGGGAAGGGAGGAGTTTCTTGTTTCCAGGGAGATACACCCATTTCATTTTTAATAATAAAGAAGAAGATGTTTGTTGAGAGGCCCCTCATTACTAGAAGACAAGATTAATCTTCCTGAAAAGGCATCTCACATTCAAAGGCCGAGGGCAGATGAGTGGGAAATGGCACAACCGGATGAGTGTGAAGATGTTTAGAGGAAAGAGGCATGGACTCAGGAAGTCAGATGTTTAACTAAGCCCCTTGATTTACAAAGGGGGACCGGTAAACACTTTCTCAGATCAAGGTACCAGAAAACTGACACAAAGAAGATAAAGCTGAGGGCATAAACCACCAAAAAGCCCCTTGGGTAAGGACGGAAAAAAACAAAACAACACCTTGCAACTCACATCGCATGAGCCGAGTAATGGCCAGAGCAGAGCCTTTTCTCTGGGCTGTTCTGTGAACTCAGACCCAGCCCCAGTCTGGCCAGGCCCACAGAGCAGGGACCGAGGACTCTCCTCGTCCTGCGCCCTAACCTTCCGCTTGAGCAAGAAAAGCTAACAGAGAAACCAAGCAGTCCAGTTGTAGATCACAGAAAAAACACGAATAGGAAATAAAATAAGATAGAGTCCCACACCCCTGTGAAAAGTTCCCAGTTGATTCCCCAGAGGAAAAAGTAAATGCCTTCGATTGGAAGGGGACAGTCGACAGAGAAGATGGGTTTTGTCGAAGTGCACTGCTAGAGGATTTCTGGGTTACCTGGAGTGAGAACGAGCCCGTGGACTGGGCCCAGACAGTGCACTTAATTCTAAGGGGAACATCAGGGACTCGGGCAGGAGGCCCTCTCAGGCTGAGACGAAAGCGCTCTCCTGTCTCTGTGGTCCTGTGTTTGACGGAGTTTTTTATACCGTCGAAGGGCCCGGGGAGGTTTTCTGTGCTGCCCTGACGGGTGCAGGTGACGGAGCAACAAGCAGGGATGGCTGATTGGTGCCCCAAGTCTTTCTAGTCTCCTGAGCAGATAACCTCAACTTTTGAAGAGATGTCCTTGCCCCCCTTTATTGGGAAATCTTCCTCCCACAAGTTATTGAGGGAAGAGCTTGAACCAGGAGCTAAAACAACCATAATTGGGTCTGCACAAAACCGCCTCATCCGGCTGCCCTGCTGGGCTCTGCCACGGGGTGGGGCCTGCACCCCGGCAGTGTGCGTGGGGGGTGGTCAGTACATGAACACAGCCCTTCTCTGTGACCTTCCAGGGCCGTATGGAGAGGACTGGGCCCAGACAGTGCACTTAACTCTAAGGGGAACATCAGGTACTCGGGCAGGAGGCCCTCACAGGCCGAGATGAAAGCGCTCTCCTGTCTCTGTGGTCCTGTGTTTGACGGATTTTTTGATACCGTCAAAGGGCCCAGGGAGGTTTTCTGTGCTGCCCTGACTGGTGCAGGTGATGGAGCAACATGCAGGGATGGCTGATTGGTGCCCCAAGTCTTTCTATTCTCCTGAGCAGATAACCTCAACTTTTGAAGAGATGTCCTTGCCCCTCTTTATTGGTTGAAGTCTTCCTCCCACAAGTTATTGAGGGAAGAGCTTGAATGAGGAGCTAAAACAACCATAATTGGGTCTGCACAAAACTGCCTCATCCAGCTGCCCTGCTGGGCTCTGCCATGGGGTGGGGCCTGCACCCCCGGCAGTGTGCATGGGGGGTGGTCAGTACATGAACACAGCCCTTCTCTGTGACCTTCCTGTGCACAGCCCGTCTTGCTCCATGCTGCTCCCCCTGAAATCCTTTTATCACAGCCTCCCAAATGACCTTGAACGATTATTAAAGAGGTAGCACGTTTTGGAGACGGTGGTCATCCAGCACCTCACTAATAATGGTGCTGGTTCATTCATCATGGATGTTCAATGCACCAGCTCCCCCAGACCATTAAGTCTGCCTTCGACTTTCCAAGAAAGAACCTGTACAGTGCTCTCTCTTCAACCCCTGAGATCCTGGGAAGCACCTACAGAATCCCTCACAGATTGGGGCCCCAGTATGGTGCTCTCCTAAACTCATACCATGGCGAGAGGGTGGCGATCAATAGCATGTTCACGTCTGGAATCTGTGGACTAAATTCTCATGTCCTCAAAAGATGCCTAGCTTTGCACTAAGAAGCTGCAGGGACCATCACATGGGCCTTATTGCTATAAACAGGGGAGGCGACAAGGATGCTCTTATGTACCCATTACCCTGCCTGGGCGATCGAGTCGTTTCACAGGAGGGGGATTCGGGGTGCTGACAGGTCCAGGACCCACAAGGGTCAGCCTGCCCCCCTGGGCTCTGGATCCTGGTCTTGCCACTCCTCGGACGGGGAGGTGCCTCCGTGATGAAGCGCGTTCGCATCTGCGCAGCGTTAAACTTGGCACCACCTTTCCTGGTGTGTTTTAACATTCTCTCTAATTAGTTTTCTTCATTAGCTCTTGGATGACTCCTGCACTCTGTAATTATTTCTTTCACTGGCACTTACGCTGATATTGTCTCCTCAGCCTAATAATTACTGTAATTACAGTCACTATATTTGAGTTTGGTGCTCGTGTGATAAACGGTTGTATTAAATGTGTTTGATGGGAAGTGATTTCTGAGTGGGCGTCTATAGGAAATTATTGAGGTGCTGCTCTGAGATACGTTCCAATGTTTTTGGATAATGAACTTGATGAAGTAGTGACATGACAGGAACAAGCAGCAGAGAGCACGATGCAGCTGAATTCATGGAAAATCCTTACTAGATTGCAATCATGCCTACGGGCAGAAGTGCCGGTCTGCACCCTGGTCACACCGGCCCGCAGCACATGCGGCCCAACCCCTTCCACACTAAACAGGGTGGCAGTCCAGGAGGGCGAGAGTGCAGCCCCACAGTGCCATGCCCCCGCCCTTCTTTCGGCGCGTGGACTCCCCAAGACCAGCCTCCGGAGGCTGCTGGGCCCCAGCTCTGGGACTGGGCTCCTGGGCTCCAGGAACGCCTCTGGGACAGTTGTCTTTTTATTTTTTTTTCTAGAGAAAATAGAGGGATTAGCTCTACATTTTTTTGCCCCTGGAAAAAGGAGAGTTGGTAGAACTAGAGAATGTCAATGAAAAGTAAAAAATGAACAAGCAAGCAAATTTAGGATGAGGCTGAAAAGCTACTCCATCCTCCTGTATCTCTCAGCTGCCTCCCATCCCCGGAGACCAGCGCTGCCTCAGTTATCTGTGCACAGTCTGTTTCCTGGGCTACACGGCAATCCGCTCCTGTTACACTTCAAATGCCCAAGGTCAACTGCTTCTGTTTGCTCAGCACATTCGGTGGGCTCACTGAACTGTACTAATTAAGCTCCACTTATTAGCTCTCACCTAGTTCTGTGCATGATGCTCAGGGCTTTATATGCATTATCGCATCCAGTCCTCCCAGGCATCCCTTGAGTTATGTACTATTATTATTTCCATTTTGCAGACACTCTAGGTAACCTGCCAAAGTCACATCCTAGTGAGGGGCAGAGCTAGAATTCCCAGCCACACAGGCTGATCCCAAAGCCTCCGTGGTCCTGCCTCCCAATTTCGATGAGCGACCAGATGCCAGGAACCTGTTTAGCAAATGCTGACGCGCCTAACAAGTGTGAGGTTTCTTAGCCCAGATGGACGGTCAGGCTTAACAGAAAGTGACGCATGAGCTCTTTGAGCCTTTTCCTTCAACAAATGACAAAAACCTTCTTTCTTGGAGCCCCTCGAGGCACCCCAGGGATCTCTAAGTGACGACAGAGTGCTGGGGAAACCTTGGGGGTTCCACACCGAGCTCTGGGCTGGGCGGGTGTCCAAGGCCAGGGTCAGGGAGAGCCTACGGGTGGGGCAGCCTCACCTGGGCACACGTACTCCTTCTTCTGCACGTCTGCCACATTGAAGCCCCTCAGGTGCACGGGTGCCATGCAGAGTGTGAACTGGCCAACCGTCCGCCGCTGCCGCAGCCAATCCGAGAGCCAGGCCAGGTGGCAGTCGCAGTGCAAGTGGTTGGAGTGGAGGCGCCTGGGAGAGGAAGGGACAGAGGGAAGACGCTGTCACAGGCTGAATGGAGGGGGCCAAACCTTTCTCCAGCGTGATACCCTCAGCAGCCCCGGGGAGCATCAGGTTGAGAGGGTCCAGAGAGAAGGTGTGCCCTCTCCACCCTCCTATTCCAATAGGGGGCTGTCCCCACGAGACGCCTGCAGTCTCCACAGCCTCTCCACGGTGCTCTGCGTCTGCCTCCCAGCCCAAGGCCCCCTGACACACCTGCTACCCTGACTGGCTCAGGGACCCCTGAGAAGACCCCCTATCCAGTCCCAGGACTCTGGCTTCTCCCTCTAGTAGCTGTAATTCCAGATCAGTTTCTCCTTGAGTGAATAAGAGGCCAAAGAGCTGCCTGCACTGGAGCTATGATTATGAGTTATTGACGGCTTGAAACAGCGTCTCATCAATACCACAGTCTATGGAGGCACTAGGCTGAGATCTGAGGTGCTTTTAGCCTTTCTTTCTCTCCCCAGGCATTCCTTCAATGACCCCCTGTGTGTAATCCCAGTGAGCCCCAAACCAACACCACCGCGTGCCCCATCAGGTTGAGCAGGGCCTGGAGAGAAGGTGTGCCCTCTCCACCCTCCTATTCCAATAGAGGGCTGTCCCCACCAGACGCTTGCAGTCCCCACAGCCTCTCCACGGTGCCCTGCGTCTGCCTCCCAGTCCAAGCCCCCCTGGCACACCTGCTACCCTGACTGGCTCAGGGACCCCTGAGAAGACCCCCTATCCAGTCCCACATCATCACAGTGACAGTCCTGAGCGAGCCAAACTTCCACGGGGTGGCTCCTGTGCACATGGCATTGCTGGAGCTATGATTATGAGTTATTGACGGCTTGAAACAGCGTCTCATCAATGCCACAGTCTATGGAGGCACTGGGCTGAGCCTTTCTTTCTCTCCCCAGGCGTTCCTTCAATGACGCCCTGCATGTAATCCCAGTGAGCACCAAACCAACACCACCGGGTGCCCCATCAGGTTGAGCAGGGTCCAGAGAGAAGGTGTGCCCTCTCCACCCTCCTATTCCAATAGGGGGCTGTCCCCACGAGACGCCTGCAGTCTCCACAGCCTCTCCACGGTGCTCTGCGTCTGCCTCCCAGCCCAAGGCCCCCTGACACACCTGCTACCCTGACTGGCTCAGGGACCCCTGAGAAGACCCCCTATCCAGTCCCAGGACTCTGGCTTCTCCCTCTAGTAGCTGTGATTCCAGATCAGTTTCTCCTTGAGTGAATAAGAGACCAAAGAGCCGCCTGCAGGTCCCAATTCCAGGGTAATCCTGTCTGGTTAAATGGCCCGGATTTCCTTCCCACTAACTGGGGGCAAACTCAGGATGTGCAGGGGCTTCTAAACATCCTTCCCCAAGGTTTCTCTCTCAGGGGTTTCCAACCTGCTTGTTCCACCAGCCCAAGCCATTGGGAGTGGTGGTAGGAGTTAAGTCACATCAGCTTGTCATACACTTGGCTTTCCGATGCAAAAAACACCCAGCCCTGGGCATGCTAATCAGCCGGCAGTGTCGGGGACTTCCACTCGGTGTCCAGCCATGAGACTGAGGGCCGGCAGGAGCAGTGGCCAGGCCACCTCTGCCTGAAGTGGAGAGAGCGGAAGGGCTCTTGACCACCCTCCACTTAGCACAAGGTCAACATTGCTAACTGTTGGCCAATGGCAGCTCACTTGTGCCCCCCATGGAAGTGAACCTCTGGCCGGTCAGGTCCAGTGGGGGCCTTGTAGGCTAGGGGGTCCACATCCCATCATACCAGACGGACTGCCACAGTCTATGGAGGCACTGGGCTGAGCCTTTCTTTCTCTCCCCAGGCGTTCCTTCAATGACGCCCTGCATGTAATCCCAGTGAGCACCAAACCAACACCACCGGGTGCCCCATCAGGTTGAGCAGGGTCCAGAGAGAAGGTGTGCCCTCTCCACCCTCCTATTCCAATAGGGGGCTGTCCCCACGAGACGCCTGCAGTCTCCACAGCCTCTCCACGGTGCTCTGCGTCTGCCTCCCAGCCCAAGGCCCCCTGACACACCTGCTACCCTGACTGGCTCAGGGACCCCTGAGAAGACCCCCTATCCAGTCCCAGGACTCTGGCTTCTCCCTCTAGTAGCTGTAATTCCAGATCAGTTTCTCCTTGAGTGAATAAGAGGCCAAAGAGCTGCCTGCAGGTCCCAATTCCAGGGGAATCCTGTCTGGTTAAATGGCCCGGATTTCCTTCCTACTAACTGGGGGCAAACTCAGGATGTGCAGGGGCTTCTAAACATCTTTCCCCGAGGTTTCTCTCTCAGGGGTTTCCAACCTGCTCGTTCCACCAGCCCAGGTCATTGGAGTGGTGGTAGGAGTTTAAGTCACATCAGCTTGTCATACACTTGGCTTTCCGATGCAAAAAACACCCAGCCCTGGGCATGCTAATCAGCCGGCAGTGTCGGGGACTTCCACTCGGTGTCCAGCCATGAGACTGAGGGCCGGCAGGAGCAGTGGCCAGGCCACCTCTGCCTGAAGTGGAGAGAGCGGAAGGGCTCTTGACCACCCTCCACTTAGCACAAGGTCAACATTGCTAACTGTTGGCCAATGGCAGCTCACTTGTGCCCCCCATGGAAGTGAACCTCTGGCCGGTCAGGTCCAGTGGGGGCCTTGTAGGCTAGGGGGTCCACATCCCATCATACCAGACGGACTAAATGAATTCGATTCCCATATAGAATGTCATTTTTTTTCTGCTGAAAAATATTTTAAAAGATTTTTATTTTAAAATGATTAATTTTGATGGTGCAATTTTCTTTTTGGACTCCAGAGCCAATAATTAAGGTCAAACTTAATAGGCTCCTAGGTCCAAGACACAGTGCCTATCATGGGCCCCAAGCAATTCTCCCTTTTGAGCTTAAAGCTCAGACACCCCCCTCCCACTGCTCTACACCCCCCATTGCTGCTGAAGGTGCTCCAGAAAGAGATGCGACAGGTGGGAGGGGTTGGGGAGGCAAAGTCCTAAGTTGGGGGAAGGACCTCAGTTTCAAGAGGGAACGCAAGACCACTGTCTATTCAACAAAGATGACCCCTTTGTGCCGGGACAGAGAGGGCCTGGCATGAGCTTGCATGTCCCTCTTTCCTAAAGAGCATGAGGAGAGGGACTTCCTGGAAAAGGGCAGCATCAGCGAGCTTCTGGGAGAGAGCGGGGACTCCATGGCCACCCCCGCCCCCCCCAGGGGCTAGGCTGCCTGGGATGATGGTTGGTGGTCCGCTGGGAGGCAGGCTGGTGGGACACACAGGCTGAGGGCCTGTCCTGGGTGCCAGGAGGGAGCCTTTGCGTGAGAGTTTGGCTTTCCTTAGGAAAGGCCGTGGAATGGAAGCGGAGGACACAGGGGTTCAAGTTGAACCAACGAGAGTGGGCCCACGAGTCGGATCAATGAGAACGAATTCCTGTCGGTTCCAATCAGGGTAAGAGATCAATGCAAGAACAGAAATGAGGTTTAGGTGAGTCGGATCCTTGCTGAGCGGATTACTTTCTGAGATAATCAAAATGTCAGAGGTCCCCCTTTTGGAAGATTCGATTAGGTGGGTGCTGCCTGAATTCCCGATGGCCAGCCCCAGCCACCTCTCCCCTGAACCTTGCTCCCTGACCCTTTGTCCGTCTTTGTAGGGGTCTCTCCTCTCCCAAGGGGGACCCTGGAGAAGAGGTGACCAAAAATGACTTGGAAGCCACGTGAAGCTCTTGTCAAAAGCCTGGGGCGGTCGGTGGACTCAGTTTCCCCCCTGCTGCACTCTTACCCACCAGGAATGCTGGGAGAGCCCAGCTGGGCTCTTTCATGCCGCCCTTCATATCATGTTTGGGAGACCAGGTTGAGTAGTGTCACCCCCAATGTGAGCCTACACTGCCAGGAGGAGTATTCCTCATCCTCTGGAGTGAGAAGGAAATGATTTTAATGACTTTCAATAATCTTGGTGGGTCGGGTCGGCAATGACATGGGGGCGACACAGAAGCTCCGGTCACCTGCCTTGGCCCATCTGGGATCTGTTCCTCTGCTTTTGTTTCTGCTGAACAGGATGCGCTCAGGCTCTGAGGTCACACTGCCTGGATGTAACACTGACTCTGTGCTTTCTGACTGTGACTTTGGGGGGCGATTTAACTCTGGGCCTCAGGGTTACCCTCTGTAAAATGGGGGTATTAACGATGCCCCCTTCCCGCGGTTGTTGTGAGGATTGAAATGATTCCTGGTGAGTGCTCAGCACAAGGCCTGGCACACCGTGATGTTGGAACTTATTATTATTGGGAGGAGATGAGCCTCAGACTCCTTCTCCCAACCTGGGGCCCTGCCCAAGGCGTCAAGGTGGCTGGGTGCTTCCTGCACGTGGTCGCGCGGGCTTTGCTGACAGAAACACCATACTCCAGGTCGGCAAAACCACCTTCACAGAAGATAAGGTGAATGGATACAAATGCCAATTTGTAATAGGTGCCTTTTAGCCACAGACGCTAAATTAAATTTCCAGCAAATCCTTTTAGAGGGAGTCAGTGTTCATTTTCTATAAAATGTGGCTTTCTGAATTCAATATAAAAGCTTTCCTTTAGAAATCCCATTTATGACTTCCTTCCTCTCTCCCCTCCCCCCTTCTCCAGCCCCCCACCCACCCCCTTAATCACAGGGAAGGGGATTAGTCAGCTCAAGTCTCCAGGGAGCTCTGCACAGAGCCATCTCTGAAATTAAACTAAAGAGAAAATGGCACAAGGCAGGGAGCAAAGGGAGCAGACGAGACTGATTGATTGATTTGAACGCATCAGATGAGTGTTCAGGACCACAGGGAAGGATGACAACAGAAACAAGGAGAATAAACTCTTCCATCCTCTTCCCAGACCCCATATCCCCAAACAAAGCGCCCGAGATCCAGACCTGGCCACTCCCTGCCCCCCGCCACCCACTGTCCTAGGGACCCAGCCCAACCTCCGCTACTGCTGCTCCTAAACTGAAGGTAACAAGAGGGGAAGCAGAAGTCACAGGGGAGCAGCCCCAGGAGCTGGTTGCTGATTTCTGCAGGGAAAAGCCATATTTCTCCTAGGCAACCCACTCGCCTGGGGACACAGGCCCAGCACCCTGAGACCCACAGCCCTGGCCACACTCTTCTCCAGCCCATTGGTGATTTGATGGGGACTTTGAAAAGGTCTTTGAAGACCCAATGGTTTCTCCTTCAAACTCCGTCAGTGCACCGTCCTATTTTAAAAGCGGGGAAAAGGGATGGATTTTCTTGGCTGAATTATGTTATCATACGAGGGATCAAAGGAAGGGCTGGGGAACAGTGATGGAATTTGGACCCGGATTCTTCTTCTTCATAACAACTAGTATTGGTTGAGTGCACACCATGACCAGACACACCTCGGTGCACTGCATTCTCCCAACAGCTCGGAGGCAAGCATTTCGCTTGCTGTCCGTGAAGCACAGAGAGATGGAGAAATTGCCCAGAGGAAGCGCCACCCCTTGCACTTACACTCAGGTCTGCATGACTTCCAATCGGTGCCCTAGCATACTCTGCATTGTTTCCTCACACACTGCTCCATTGGTCTCCACTTCATTCCCACCTGAGATAAGGTCACTTTTTCACCCTGGCAGGGGGTCCTCAACGCTTATGAGCATCCTATGAGCATTGAAAGCTCCTGGAGGGCTAGTGAAGAACAGATGGCGGGGCCTGCCCCAGGAAATCTGATTCCGTGGGGCTGGGGTGGGGCCTGGAGTTTGTTTGTTTGTTTGTTTGTTTTTTTAACAATTTCCAGGTGATGTTGGCCCTAGTAGTCTAGGGCAGCAGTTGCCAACCTTTCAGACCTCACGGACCACCAGTGGTCCATGGACCACCGGTTGGTGACCACTACTCCAAAGGTTTCCTTAAACCAGCGGTGGCCAACCTTTCGGACCTCACAGACCACCAGAGGTCTGTGGTCCACTGGTTGGCCACCGCTGGTCTAGGGACCCCACTTTGGGAACGACTGCTCTAAGGATTTTCAAACCTTTGTGGATTCCATGTTGCTTAGGGGCCATGGGTAAGCTAGGTGCTTAGTACTTGCAGTCCAGATCTCTGGCTAAATAGTGATGATACTGATGACCATGATGATAATAATAAAAAAACCATTAATATCAGTTACTGTCCACTCCATGCCAGGCACTTTACATTCACAGAGGAGGCAAGAGACGCCCTGGGGCTAACCATGTGTGGATCAGGTCATGGGGCAGAGGTAATGCACACGATAGAAGATGCTCGAGGGCATTTTCAGAGGAAGATATTGTGCTCGCCAAGAGCCCAAGGCAAAAATCACCTGCTTAACTAATGGGAAAGGAGATCCTGCCACAGAACACCTGTAGGCAGTGCTGTCCCTGGGCCCCCATGACCGGCTCCTGTAGAAGGGTGAGCCCGGGCTGTATGTGCCTTTAGCCTGATTTCCACGGTTATTCTGAGGTTGTCCATCCCCCTGGCTTCAGGAAGTCTGGCCCTGTGCCTTGGCCCTAAATGTATTTGGCTGAGAGCTCGTGGGGGCTGGCTCTCCCCTACAGCTGTGATGCACGGGCCACTGAGACCCACCAACAAGAAAAGCAGAGTATGAACCTCTTTGCAAGGCCAGCGGAGCTCAAATGCAAAGATATGTACAAAAGGGGTTCTGGCTGAGTAGAGGGGGACCCCCTGATAATAGGGACACTAAATCTGCTCTCTGAATGGGGCGTCAGGGGAAGATTTGCCTCCTGAGTACACACCTTGGAAGGATAAAGAACTAAGTTATTGCGTTCCAATGTCAGCTACCCTCTGGGGCAGGTGGGCAGGGCAGTGTGGTGGGTGGGGGCTGGGAGGATGGGGACAAGGAGAAGCCAAGGCTCCTTCTCCACGGGCCCCAGAGGGAAAACTATTGTGATCACTGGCAATGGGTAGAACCGCCAGGGGCATGACATTAGCTAAGGAGATGGTGAGTCATTGGGTCCCAGTGCTCTATGTTGTGACAAGGGAACACCAACCTACTTTCCCATCAAGATAGAAAACAAAAAGGAGATTCCCACAGCCCAGGAAGGGTCCCAGGATGAAGAGCATGAGTCTGCCTGCTGCGGAGGGTGGGTCAGACCATGGATGGCACCCTGGTCCTCCCCTCCCCTTTCCCCCATGTCCTCGCTCACCAACACCCCCTCAGTCAATGGCAGAGGAGGCAGCATCCGGACAGAAAAACCCACTGGTGGGTCCTAGCACGGGAGGTCTCACAGTAGGTCTTACCCGGCTGCGCTGTGGGCTGTGTGTGATGGGGAGCGGGGGTGGGGGCAGAGGGGGAGGAGAGCGGGGAGCTTTACTCACAGGGTTCGGATCTTCGGCATGTGGTTGAAGCTGGTGACCAGGATGCGGCTGATGTTGTTGTTGTTGAGGGTGCTGCGGAGATGGAGGAAAAAGGGACATGGTCAGCAGGGGCGGCCTGAGGGGTACTGCGACTCATGAAGGTGGGGAGGGAAGGATGTGACTGCAAGAGGGACCAAGGATCCCTAGCCGGGGCAGGGGGTGGGGCAGCCGGAGACAGGCGGAGGGCTCTCCCTATGATTAGGGAATCTGTGACCCCTCCTCCCCTCTGCTGCCCACTCAGTACTTACTGGCCCACCTGGAGCAATAGTATTGCTTCCTGAAACCCGACTAGGTGCTGGGTGCCCCATGACAACAGCTCTCATTCCCACACCTACAACACCAGCTGGTCTCTCTGTCCTCATCTTAGAGCAGGGTGGGGGAACATCCAGCCCTTGGGCCGCAGAAGGTCCGAGAAATCATTTGGTCTGGCCCTGCTAAGGCAACTGCAGGCGGGACTCGAAATTCAATAAATCTAGGAGCTTTGTCCATAGCAACATACATTTATATTAAGTGAATTATATTAAGGGAATGATGCTATAAATATCCAAATGGCCCTTGGCAGAAAAAAGGTTCCCCACTCCTGTTTTACAGAGAAGGAAACAGATTTATATCGCTCAGTAACACGCAGCCCTACAAGGGAGGCATTCCCCTCGTGTGAGAGACGAAGGGGCTGAGCTACATACAGAAAGGTAGGCCGGCTTCCCAGGGACCCTGGCTGCTAAGCTCTGGAGATGGGACTTGAACCCAGCGCCATCTTGCTGCAGACCCCTCGCGCTGACCCGTGCACCCACTGCCTCAAAGGATGCCACGTGGAGAGGTTATCCTGACTCCTCAAGCTCCTCTTATCCATCATAAGTGAGTCCGAGAGGCCAGGGGCTAGGTCTCCTCTTCCTGTGCGTGTCCATGCCGTGGCTGGCAACTCCGACAGCTGGACATTGGCACTGACTGGGTTCTTTGTAAGTGAAAGGAAAGAGAGAGATGTGAGCTCCACAGATGGGTCAGCATGAAATGAGGCTGCCAGAGAATGAAATCGGGCTGGAGGCACGTACAGCCGGGCTGGCCCTTCTACCGGAGCCTGTCGTGGAGGCCCAGGGACAGCACGGCCGAGGCACCGCCTGCAGAAAGTTTCCTGTGGCAGGACCGCCAGGTGCATTTAGCCTCGGGCTCTGGGCGAGCACACGATCTTCCTCTTAAAATGCCCTCTAGCATTCTCTCTCGCGCGCATTACTTCCGCCCCGTGCCCCGATCCACACATGGCTCGAACTGCGTCTTATATACCCTAGTTGTGTGGTCTTGGGCAGATGATCAGCATCTCTTACCCACAGGTCTTCATCAGCAGACCTTAGTGGAGAGAATCTGGTCCTGGCTGGTCATTCCTTCCACCCCCACCCCCTTGCCCCCCAGAAATAGAAACAGCTTTGTCCAGCACACTACGGTCCCCATACCTGCCCCACCCAAGGGGCCCTGCACAAACCCCTTTCCCAGTCCCCGGTGACTGAGCTCACAGCAGGATCCCAGCGATCCATCCCTCTGGCTTCAGGCTGTTCCTCAATCCCCACCCCCCGCCCACTTCATACTTGGCCTGTGTTCGGCCGATAAGGCCAGGGGGCAGTCTGTTTACACAAAGGCACAGAACGGCATACTTTTCCTCCCCTCCCTCCCATATTGATTATGTACCTACCGCGTGTCTGGCATTATTTTAGGCGCATCACGTGGTCAAAAGGAATGAACAGACCTGCTCGGCCCACTCTGCAACTCTAATAACGTGCCAGTGCAGACACTTTGCCTTTTATGAAATCGAACCCACAGAGCTGCATATTTTCCGTGGCTTATCTTTTCCGTGAGCGAGTGTGTGAGTCCATCCCATCTCCACCCACTCAGGAAGCCTTCAGAGCATCTCATCAGACAGGGCTGGAGACCCTGCCACTCCCATCTGACCGGCGCTCCGGCCTCCGCAGGAAGTTTCCTGGGGATGGGAACTATGCCCCCCAACCCCTCTCCACCCGGTTAGAAACGCCTTAAATGGCACCTTCGTTTCCCCTTCTATCCATCCCAGAGTTCCAGCCCCACTACCAGCTACAGTCTGAGCATCCTCTGTACTCTCAGAGGCAAAAGGAAGACGCCTTGGCAGAGAAGTGGCTTCCTTCCGGCCCGGCCCAGCCGCTCAGCGCCACTGAGTTCACAGCCAGCCCTAATTTAGCTGAACAGACGTACAGTTATACGCAGGGGCTTCGACTAACTGCGTCCGGCAGCGGTCCGGCAGCGATGACTTATTAATGTATTACTACACTGATATTTAAATTCGAGCCGTAATGAGGGCTATAAAACATTTACGATGATAGCAATTATTCCAGGACCAAGATGACTAAACACAGTGTTCAGACTTCCATGATTTGCTGCATGGGGCTGGCCAGCCCTGGGTGGTGGAGGGTCGGTCACCTCTTAGATGCGGATCTCCAGGGCAGCTGGAGTTTCTGCTTCCCTAATAAACACAGATTTATTTGATTTCCAGCCTTGGCGGCCGTGGCCTGTGCAGGGAGCTCTGTGCTCCGTTTGGCTCGGGTGCCCCTGCCTAAGCAGCTGGCATCTGAAGGAGGCGTCGTGGTCCAGCACAGCAGAGCAGAGCGGTGAGCATGGCCTCGAACGCCCAGGCCTGGGTTAGGCTCTGGCTCTGCCACCTGTAGCCTGTGCAGCCCCGTTCCCTTAACCCTATTAGGTCTCCTCCTTTATGACGTGGAGATAATCACAACAGCACTGGCTGCATACAGCCTTAGTGGTGATTAAAGGATATGATACTAATAACTGTCCGTATGGGCTGAGGGCTTATTGCATGCCAGGCCAGCGCTGGGCTACGGGCTCTAGCTGCGCCATCTCACTTAACCTCTCCCCCACCCTATGAGGCAGGCACTCTGTCATCATCTCCGTTTCCTGGATGAAGCAAGCAGTGGTACCAGGACATGAGTCCAGACAAGCCTGACGCCTCTATGTGTTGTCTACTGCTGCTGGAACAGGTTACCAATAATTTAGTGGCTTAAAACAACACAGATGTAGTCCTTATAGTCTGGAGGTCAGAAGTCTCAAATGTGTCCAAGGGACTGCGTTTTTTTTCCAGGACCATCAGGAAGAGAAATTTTGCAGTCTGTACAGGCCACCCACATTCCCCGGTTCGTGGCCCCTTCCCCGAGCCATTCAACCTCTGACTTGTGTCACCAATCTCCTACTGTTCACTATGACCTCCTGCTTCTCTCTAAGGAAGACCCTTGTGACGCAGGGCAGTTGGAGCCTAACCGGGTAATCCAGGCCCACCTCCCCCTCAGGAGGCTCCATCCCATCTGCCAAGTCCCTTGCATCACAAGTCCCTGGGATCAGACAGGGACATCTCTGGGGGAGCATTATCGGCCGACCCCAATGCCCTTAAAACCGGCACGGTAGCACACTGCCGGGCACAGAGGTAATGTTATAACAGTAGCTTGTTTAGTCCTTTACAGTTTAAAACGCACTTTCATCTTCATCGCGTTTGACGCCGGCAGCACTCTGAAGTCGCATCTATGGCTGATCGGCACGGAAAGCACACTGGATAGCACACTGCTGGGCACAGAGGTAATGTTATAACAGTAGCGTGTTTAGTCCTTTACAGTTTAAAACGCACTTTCACCTTCATCGCCTTTGACGCCGGCAGCACTCTGAAGTCGCATCTATGGCTCCCACTTTACAGATGAGCAGACTGAGGCCATGAGGCAAGGGACTTACGTAGGGCAGCACGTGAGCTGCCGCAGGATTCAGCCCTGCTGCTCTCTCTTTACACCCCAGTTCCTCCCCACCTGCCCACGCCTCCTGCTTGCAGGGCGGGCTTGTTTCTCGGGCAGGGCTGTTCTCTGTCTCTCCACCAGGGACCCAAAGCTGGAGAGAACTGCACAAGCCTCCCACCGCCTCTCCTTCTATCAACTGCCTTAACAATTAGCCGGCAGAAAAAGAAAGGGGTCTGACAGTGACCCGCCCCCACTGGATGGCTGGTCGGGCTGAGCCGTGGTGGCCTCATCGGCGTCACCCTATCTACCTCCACGTCCTGGCCGAGTTTTGCCAGTTCCAGTGTCTGGTTTCACCCTCCCTGCTCTGCTCCCGGGGAGCTACTCTGACAAGATATGCTGTAACCCAAGTCATAGGCTTTCCCCCAAGTAAATGCTTTCGATTCAGCATTTTTCAAGTTCAGAGTCAAATTAATTGTATGAAACTTCAGGACTGTACTGGCCTCCCTTTTTGCACCATCACAAGCTACTGAATGGGCAGTTCAGTTTGAACCAGAGATAAGGTGCTTCCCCCAACAGGATTTCAAAGACAGGCCACCTACTGCCCACTGTCTCCCGTAGAGCCCTTCCCCACGATAAACTCTCTTTACACTGAGACTGAGGTGGACCCGAGACTGTCTTGTTTCTCTCCTGTCTGGTCAGACGTGGAGCATACATGCGTCATGGAGAGGGATCGTTTTCCTTAATAGAGTGACCCTTCTGGACAATGCTACTGCTACCAAAGGCTCCCGCTCTTGGCTCTGAGCGCTAGAAAGAGGGTGTTCCGCTTTCTTTCCAGGGCCCGAGGGGATGAGCGAACTTACTATCGCTTCTCCGGTGCACACATTAAACCTTAACGCCTAAAGAATATATGTTTCCCTGTGCCCCTCAGTGAAAGGCTGGGTCCTGCGGCAGTACAAGGCCCCCAGGAGTGGCGGATGGTGAGGGAGTGGCGCACATGCTAGCCTGTCCAGGGCTTGGCCAGCTCCAGCCCCCAGGCCAAATCTTGTCGTCCACGGCCTGTTTCCATAAATAAAGTTTTACCCTCTTGCTTACGTACCATCTAAGGCTGCTTTCGTGTCACATGGCTGAGTGGTTGCTACAGAGACCATATGGCCTGGAAGCCTAAACGAGTTACTAAGTGGCTCTATACGGACAGCGTTCCTTGACCTCTGGCCGCTCGCTCTGGGCAGAGCTCCTCCCGCCCCAGCCGGCGTCGCACTGCAATGAGTCGGGCCAGTCACCTGGGAAGGTCTCCCTGCGCCCAGAACTGCAAGGCTGATGGAATCGGAGCGTGGCAGGCCCTGCTCAGGGACAGGCTGGGGCACCCACCTTGGGCTGGTGCAGAATGAACGTGGGCCGTGGGTCCCAAAGTGTGGTGCCGGGCCCCCCAGACCCACGGGATCAGAAGCTCGGGGAGTGTGGGGGTGGGGCGCCTTCTGTGTTTTAAGGGACCCTGCAGAGGAGTCCCAGGCCAGCTCGAGTTGGAAACCATTGACGGAGGGAAGAGCGAAGAACAGCCTTGAGCTGAGTGTGGAGGCAGTGGACAGGCGGCCCCCTGGCTGCCTCTGGGACCGAGGCCTCTGTGGAGAGGACAGTGTTTTCTGCTTAGAAAGAGGCCTGAGCTCTGAAACAGTGCTCAGCCCTCCATGCAGGTG